AAGCATATTTGTGCAACTAGGTCATATAAAATTAATAGATTGTCCAGAGCACCATCCTGACATTAATAACAAAAAATACTTGAAAATATTTTTTGTCAGTAAGCATCATCTCTCTAAATATTTCATAGTGTCTTTAAAGATCATAACTTCATTATAATTTCTGAAAACACAGATGTTTAAACTAACAAAATCTTTTAAAGATGAGTTCCAACTGACTGTATTGCCTACATTGCCTCAGTTGATTTTAAAAAACCAACCAACCAATCAACCAACCAACCAACCAACCAACCAGTTATTTAACTCCAATTAACAAAAATGAAGTTGCCATGACAACGGCTGTGTTCAGCACCACTTATCAATGATGGAACTACAAAGAACAATCAATCTGTGTGTGTGTGTGTGTGTGTGTGTGTGTGTGTGTGCATGCGCGCATGTGTCTTTATACACTACATGTTGGGAGCTACACCTTATAAGGAAGAGAAGACAACAATGAGATGACAAGGCACCCTGATAAGCACCTTGGTCCAGAAGCAGAGAGAAGAAAGCTTATATCCACATGAGGGCATTACATTCTCACATGTTCTGAATATCTTGTCCCTTTTTGTTCTCCTGTCACACAATACCACTTCCAACCATGAAACTCAAGTAAATGAAGCAAGCAAAATTAGTTAAATTAATTGGATTATGAGCTACTGAATAAACAGATAGGAACCACTTTTTTCTCAGGCTATCTTGCTACTTCACCTTTTAATAATTTGATGTGAAATACAGAATCTTTGTAGTAAAGAGTAGGGATCTTCCTCTGGACTTCAATCATGTGACATGTAAAAACAGCACAACATTTAGAAATAGAACCAGCAAAAATTTCATTGAAATAGTTCACTTTGTTTCTCTTTACCTTTTTCTGAACTGCATTTCTGTTAAACTGAACATACTCTGTACAACATTATGAAATATGTTTGTGGTGTTATATCCCATACTGGTCAAGATCTTTAAGACAGTGCCTTCACCAGATCTACCTACCTACCTACCAGTAGACAGGAAATACAAGAAACATCTTAATTACCACCAGGAGGATGGCAATCAACAAAAATCCAGAATGTAGGGAATTTTACAGACTCACTACTCAAAAGTGTAGTGCAGGTCCCGGCCACATTAGCATCACCTGGGTATCTATTTAACAGGTCGACTCTCAGGCCCCACCCCAGTGTGCATCAGAATCTTTAATAAGATTGCCAACTGATTTATATGCACATTTATGTTTAAGAACCAGTGTTCTACAGTACAAACAAAACAAAACTGAGACACACACAGAGAGGCAGAAACACACACAGAGAGGCAGAGAAAGGCCAAAGGGGAGCCCAGAGATTAAAAGACTTTGAAGATGTGTCAACCAAACCAATGGGTACATGCTGATCTTCATTTGAAAAATAATTATGAAAAGTGTTCACACACACATTTTAATGTTCAAATCTATTTCTATATTTGAGTTAATGACTAGATGGAATAATGTAAGTTTTTTTTTTAAGTTGTTTAGTTAGGAAAATATATCAATTTAATTTTTAGAGAGTAGCATTGCTCGTAATTCTGTAAGTACATATGAGTGAAAAGCTAACCAAAAACTAAATGACTGGAGAATTTTAAATGATCCTACATAGAGCCCTCATACAAAGAGTAAGGCAAAATTTCACTGAAATGTAAATTAACCAGTCTATAGAAACCTATTTGCAGCACTGCTTGGTCATAATGAAGAATTGGGGGGTTGCAGGGTTATCCAATGAAGTCGGCTGGAGGGGAAGGAAGTGACTTTGGGCAAGCCACTACCTTCTCACTGAGTGTAGGTGGACTCATCTGCAAAGGGGTGAATAATAGCACCAGCTATGCCTCGCTGGCAGAGTTATCAGGTTCAAATATAAGAATGGATGTGAAAGTGACCTGTAAACTATAAAGCACTAGTCAAATGTTATACTCATTTTTTTTCTTTTTAAAACACAGAGACAATATGGCATTACAGCATGGGCTTTGGGATCAGACAGGATACCTAGGTTTGTATTCCAGCACCTCCTCCTGTGGAAATGAAACAAGAGAATAAGCATCTCATATGTCCAATTTCCTCATCTGTAAAATGAAATAACACTCACTGTGAGAGATTGTGTCACTGTCAAAATACCTGTTTTCCCTCCCTCATTAAGTCCCTTCCTGTGTAGCCCCTGCAGGAGAATTAAAGATCCATTCACTAAGGGCAGTTCTGGCCAAGTGACTTCCCCGGTCCAGGGAACATGAGTGGAAGTGGCACGTGCCACTTCTCAATGGGAGCTCTAAGAGCCATTGCATGATTCTGCCACCACTCTCTTCCCTCTGCCACGAGACACAGTGACCCAATCAGTGGCTGCTCCTTTGGTGTCCGAGAGTGAGCTGAACACAGGGGCTGTCTGTTAGTGCTGCATCATCTAGCAAAAGCTAATATACCCCTCCCGTGTGGGATTATAGGGAATATTAAATGTGATTGTATATCAAGAGTACCTGAAAAAAATAATAGCTGCTGCTGTCAGTGAATGTCTGCTCCCTTCTCATCATTAGCATTCATGAAGCTTATACCACTGCTGAGAACAGCTGCCAGGCTGTTCCATTTGCACATCAGAACTCAGAATAATAGGAGCTTAGTCACTAGTTTTAGAGACCTAACATTTACTAAGATGTACCACATGCTCAAAATGTGGTAAATTTTGTTATTTCAGTCTCATAGTCCTAAGAGATTGGTTTTGTATTCTCTGTTTCACAAGGAATATAATTTCTAATATGAAAAAGTAGGTGGCATATTGATGGGTCTGGCAAAAGAAAAACAAAAACAGTCTTCAGTAGTTCTGAGCTGAGACTAAGTAAGAGAAAGAAGAACTAACCAGGTTTTAATGAGTTACATGCTAGAGTAAATTAAATAATTTGTGCTCATATCCCAAGGTCTTTCATTGAACTGCAGGAGTGAAGCCAAGAGACACAGAATGAGGACTCATCAAAAGGAAGTATGAACATGGATTTGTTGTGTAATTCACGCACATACACACTCAAAAATGTGCACACATATGTGGCTAGACGCACCTGTATCAATATGTAAGATCTTATATAATAAACCTGAGGCTAAATAATTAAACAACTTAAGTAGGTGGTACACATTTTAGTAAGGCAAAAGTACAACCAGACAAGAGAACAAAGAAACTAGAAGTAAAAATGCGACCCTGCACTCAAGAGGAATGCACTTCTTTACAAACACTGAGGTCTAAATTACTCATGCACGGAATAGTGTTTGGATTAAACTCATGATTCCCCATAAGGAAGAGGGGAAGAAACCAACTAGAAGTTGTGACCAGATCCAGGCCTACGCTGAAATACGAAGCTCATGTCAGATTAGAAAGGTCATGTGACTTACTCCAAGTCACATAGCTAGTAATTATTACAGCAAGAATCGAGGCCTGTATGCACACCATGTGTAATCAATCCACTGAACACCTGGAAATACAGGTTTCTGAAGGCAAGTACAGCACAAACATTAATCTGAAAAACATGCTTTAATTCTATTTAAACAACATACTCTACATAAGCTCTTGTTTCCCTAAAATGTTTTTTACCCCAGAATATTTAGATTGTACAATAAAACACTATAGAAAAACAAAATTGATTTTAAGACAACAAATGCTCATATTATATACTGCTTGGTCTCGGTACTTCCTAAGCAATATTGTAAAATTAAAAAAAAAAAAAAGAAGAACTACAAAAATAACCCATGCTACAGAAAAAAAATTCACATAAAGTATTTTACTGTAATTCTTTTTCTGCTGACCTTTCTTAGTACAGTAATCACTCTATATGTAATTAAGATGGGTCCATCTGAAATGCTTACTGACCACCAAACTGCTTCAATAAGGTGGGTGATACATTTGATATGCGAGTAGACTTCCTAGTTTGCTCAACCTCAGTGACTTTCAAAAAGTTACTCTGGAATAAAATACAGCCATTTCTAATTTCTTACTTGTCCTTGTTCTGAAATCTCCTTCAGGTACACAAAGCATTTCTATGCCTAGACTTTGCTTTGGAGGCTTATACCTATTATGTGCCCTTGTCAATTCCAGCCTCTCCTGACTATGCAATAGCTAAAATCCTTAACCCGATTTATCTAAAACATCCAAAGTTGAAGATCATTTACATAAACATTTAAGATTGTTGAATGTAGATCTGTATTTAGTTAGAAGTTGCTCTGGATTAACATACAATTGGAAATATTAATAGTTTTTAGTCTATGTGATGGGAGAATTTATCTGTCTTTTTTATATTTTATAGGAATTTGTTCGAAGTTCTTATACTATCATTCTTGGAATAATTCTTAAAATAATTTTAAGCAATGAATTCTTAAGATAATTTGGTTTTTCTCATTTCACTTATAATCTTCAATATCTGTGTCATCACTGTTACTTGAACTGTTTTAAAACAATCTGAACTATGGAAGGATCTTGGAAAACTTGCCTCTGGGTGGATGTGTGAATGAAGGAGTGTTAAACGGTCATCTTTAGGAATATTCCATTATCAGATCACCTGCTAACTCTCAGTGCTCACACTGGAGAACCAGCCAGCAGGAAGACATCCAGCAGTTGTTTTCTACCCTTTTCAACACATTGCTGAGTTTACCCTTAAACCAGAACTAAAATCATGAAATCAACAAAGCTGAATATGTAGCAGGACTCTTTCACATTATTCCAGTGAACCAGTACCTAAGAAAAGCATGTGGCAAAACAAGGGAACAATTTCTGAAATAGAAATAAAAGTTCTAAAGTTGGATTTTAGCTGATGTGCAATATGGAAAACAAAGCTGGAAATCATTACTTCAATGATTTTTTTAGGTTGTCAAAAAGTTGCTTGCTAAGTTATTTTTCTGATTGAAGTTGTCATTTGTCTATTTCCAGTGACATCCATCAGAATCACGAAGTATTATCAGTTCTGGGATAACTTACGAAGAGAGGACATGCTAGAGGTGCTCCGAAGAAACTGGTGTAAGCCGTCTTCGCTGTCACTAGAGCTGGCTATACTGTTCCTCATTTCCAGCATGGAGATCTGCGTGCAAAGGCTGAGCTGGTGTTCCAACTTCTTGGCCTTCTACAAAACAAAGTTTTAAGATTTCTGACACCGATGGGACTTAAGATCATATATTCCCTGGCAGCAGCATTTACTTTTCTTTGAAATAAAAGACTACCTGGTACATAGTAAGTGCCCAATAAATGTTAGCTATAATTTCTATTCTATTATATTACTATAAATATATTATAATAAAGTTAACATACGCAATAGCCTATTTATTAATCTGTAAATTAATAAACACCAACCTAATTTGATAAACAGCCCAGACAAGATGGCCTTAAGCGTGCACACACACTCCCATATTCAACTAGTCCCTGGAAAACAGTACTTATCACAGAAACAATGTTTTACAAGTTCTCTTCTGTGATTATTTTAATTTCCTTCTAAGCAAATGTGGGGAAATGAAGATCAAATTGCAAATATTTGAAGACCTATGCAACTTTGAAATTCCTAACTGAATTGATACAGGATTCCATTCCATACCTCTCTCATCATGTATGGGCTTTCTAGGAGTGAGCTTGATTAGGAGGATGCACAAGAAAAACTGGAGGACACCAGGGTTAAAATGCCATCTTCTTACCTGCTGGAGTCTGTTGGCGTTTCTCAGTCTGCAGCCACAGTCCTGCCTTCCTTGGCCTATTCCACACCCCCCGACTCCCTCCCAATCACTTACCATCTTCCTTAGATTGCTTAGAAGATCCTTTATGAGAGGATAGCACCTCATTACCACAAATGGAAGTCCCTGACATTTAGAGACATCTCACTAGGTAACGGCAAATATAATAATAACAAAATATTTCCTTACTCTTGAGAAATGATCCCCTGAAGGGTCTCTGAATTACAAACATCCCCACTTCACTTAACATATGACTAATTAATGAAAATTCAGGAAAATATATATTGCATAAAGTGATTTATATCTCACTATACATATTTACTTAACGAAATAAACATACTCAGAAAAACACTTACTTTATCATTTAAGGTGGGATCATTCAACGAGTAGAGCTTATTTGTAATATCTTTTCCTATAAGATACCTAAATATTTCATATAGGAAAGGTTCTGATTCCAGAAAGTAAGTTAATCTTTCTCTTGACCAGCATAAAAATTTGCAGTTATCATCTGCAATGATGGTGACCTGCCAAAGAAACAAACATAGAAAGAAAAAAGTACATCTATGTATACAGATTATGAGTACAGTAACTTGGGGGAAGGTTAGAATAACTTAGTGGATATTATTGCAGCAACGATTTGTCATATTTGTTAAATTAAAATAAGATTCATACACACAAGCTTCAAAATTAGGTATAAAATTGTTTAAAACCAAGCAATCTGCAGACTAGATAAAAGCAAATTCTCCGCCTAGTTCTTGTTCTGTTTTGTGAGGTCTGGTGACAGAAGAATGGCCACTGTGTCAGTAGCATTGCCATAGTGTACTAGGCTGATGTTCCAATTGGACATATAATTTAAGGCTAAATATTTCTTTATACCCCAATGATTATAACAGAGTTTAAATAATACAGCTTTAAGCAAAAGAAGTGAGGTAAGATTTGTGAGGCAAGTTATAGATGACAGACCTTCTGCCCAGCCGACTCTACAAACACACTCTAGAAAATGAGAAAACGAACTCATATGAGTCGGTTTTATGGCCCATGCTGTCACTAATAAATAAGGCTAGTGAGGTTCTTCTTATGGATCTTCTGTTATAGGTATCTCTTGAGTGTCACCTTTCAAAATTAGCTCCAATGTAGTCCACTGGGGACTGATGCACAGAGATCCTACAAATAGTTCAGAATTGGGAAACCATTGTAATTATACTACACAGAGCTCAAGTATTCTTTAAATAAATCCCATTCCCAGAGTGAGGAGCCCTGCCCTCACAGCTCAGTGTCAGGAGTGTCAGGGCTCAAGTATTCTTTAAATAAATCCCATTCCCAGAGTGAGGAGCCCTGCCCTCACAGCTCAGTGTCAGGAAGCCCTTACTTCACTAACCCCCCACCCCGGTCCCCAGTTCTATCAGTTACTACTTCTCCTCTGAACTTCACATGGCACTCGCATCACTGAATCCTGACACATCTGTTTCTCCTGAGCACTCTTGACAGGAGGGGTTGTGCATCCTCATGTCTGAATGTCTGTCTTCCAACACAGAGTGGTACTCGATGTGTATTTATTGTATGAAGGAATTAACAAATGAACACAAATACTGTTGAAGGCAAAATCCATTTTTACATCTCAACATTAAACCCGATGCCTATCCAGGTAGATTAATAAAGATTTGTTAAATTGACATGAAGTCATATCGGGGCTCACAGCAAATATTTCCAAAGGAGCTCTTTTCCCTTTGTTAGTCAAAAAATTAAATATATTTCAGATGAAAAGGGGATATTTTATGTCGACTAAGAGAGACTATGCAAAACCTTCCTTCTCTCTTTATGTCAACAGCTGAAATTTAATCTTTAGTAAATTAGAGAGTTTTCGCTACTTTAAAAAGTGGGTCAATATTCCTAGAAAAAAAAGTTTGCAATTATTTACTATATTAAAAATAGAAATCTCCAAAACCAAACACATTTGGATTTAAGAAATGTATCGGCATTTCAATGACCCCATAAAACACTAAATTCCATTCATTCTTTTAACATACACTATTATGCACATACTTAATGCCAGGTACTATTCAAGGCACTGAGGTTACAACTGTGAAAAAGAAAGACAAGATCCTTGCCCTGTGATGTTTACATTCTAGTGGAGGAAGCTGATAATAAATAAATAAATACGACACTTCAGGTGGCAATAAGTATTCTTGACAAATATAGGGGAAAATGGCAGAGAGTGACTAGGGAATGACAGCTGCACATAATAACACTCAAACATTTAAGATGCTTTTATATCTATCATATAAATGGATCCTCAGAACTACCTTTAAGATAAGACAGATGACATTTTTCCCCATCTTTTAGATGCCAAATGAGAAGCACCAAAAAATTTAATCACAAGCACATGTTAACTAGTGGTGGCATGAGCACTTTCAACTTCCATCTCAGGTATATTTTCCCACCAGGACAAACCCTACCCAATGTGTCCAATATTCTTCAAGATGATCCTATAGAAAGTAATCTGGCCAAATGACCACAAAGTTGGCTCACAGTCCATCAAGAGTCTCTCATACAAAGAACAGCCGAACACTTCATGAAACCTACATTCTAGTGGAGGAAGCCAATAAAAAGTAAAGACATGATAAAAAAAAAAAAAAAGAAAAAGAAAAAGATAGGATTTATAAGAGAAGCGTAAAGTCAAGTGACTCCTTAGAAGTTCCCATAAACAGTAAGAGATGGGTAAGTAAACACAAGGCAAATGAATACTATTTAGGAGTGATTAGAGAAGGTGAGCACCCAGTACTCACAGAGCCCAGTCGTGCACCCGAGCTCTGAAAACAGGGTTTGGAGAGTTGAAGTCCCTTCATTTTGCAAAGATGTTATCCAAGACTTTGGAAAATATAACATGTATAGTGGGACAAGGAGTTAAAAAAGGAGCTGGAAATCATCCAGAAGAAGAAGAAATTATATCTCGGTGACAGATGAGGCATTTAATGCCTTTCCAACCATTTTAATAACCTCATTTCCACGAAGGCAGTGATACTTATAATATGATACCACAGTCTGCTTAGCAAATCATTTCTTACTTATACTTGAAAAATACTTTAAACATGTTTAAATTATTACTAACTTTAAACTTAACAGTATTCAAATAATAAACTATACCTGCAGTATGTATGAGTATCTTACAAATCCCTCAGAGCAGACATTTAGTTGGAAGTGGGTAGTTAGCATATTGACTGAGGTCATTTTACTTGATGGCTAATATTAAAAATTCCTGCTATAGTTTTATTTAATAATTTCCTTTCATAACAGTCAAGTAAAACATATTTTTAATGAGGAATTTTTATAAATCAATATAGGAATATTTAAAGCTTCTGTTAAATAAATTTGCTTCTTAAGTTATCAAGGTATCTCAGCAGTGCCATACTTGAGTTCTTGTGAAGAATTTTACTGAAGAAATAAAAGCAAACAGGGCAATGGAGACATAAAACAATCTCTTTCAGGTAGAGTTAGACTAAGCATTTTTAACTGGGTTTGCTGTGATTACCTTAAGGTATTGGATCAGCCCCTCACTTTAGATTCCAAACCAATTCCACACCCTCAGTATCGGGAAGACAATACACAATAAAAAGTGTGTCTGAGGGAATTGTCGAATGTGCTAGAATTGGAAAGAAAAGACCGTCCTGGGGAGACTTTATTTTCTTCATATATTGTACAACATTTCACATACCAGGAACATGAAAATTGTCCTAGAAGTGGTCTATTCAACTAATTCCTATTGAGCTCTCATAAGCATTGAAATACAGCAGTCCAAACTGGTGGATTAAATTGGTTTGCAGCCTTACCAAAAGATTCACTTAATACTAAGACAAGGTTTTATTCAAATACCAGTTAAAACTTAGTGTTCACTTATTTCACAATAGCTTGGACATCTGCCTCCAAGACATTTTTCTTCCTTTAAAGTCAATAAGCTTTGATTTTTTGGCTTCAGAGCACAGGACATGCTATTGATTATGGGAAGGCAACAGCAGGAGATAGAATACAAAAGAAAAACATGTAAATGCAAAAGCTCACTGGATTTAAAACAACTGCACAAAGAAGAAGAAATCAAACACAAAAGATGACTTCTACCTTTTGTAATAATGATATTCAAGATTCTATCAATAGTTTTAAGTAGCAACTCTGGTGAATAAGTACTAAATGACTATAAGCAGCTAGGGAGCAGCTATAAGCTTGGAATCTGTTTTCTCTGCTCCAGCACTGTGTCTATCATTATAATTACCTCATGTACCTGACCAATTTTAGCTGTGCAATCTCAAGGGACAGTCGTTGAGTCCACTTGCCTTTCTTTTCTTCTTTCATCCTATTGTATAATTCATGAGCACCCCTACCAAGGAATAAACTGAGAGAAAGAAAAACTCAAAGGAAGTAGCTCCTTGTTAGAATTCTTGCAACTGTTCAGAGTTAAAGAAAAATCAAATTAGCAGGTAAAAAGCAGGTAGCTGGAGCAGTCTGACCACTGACAATTTTAATTGTCCTCTGCCATAGTAAGCCCCCCTGGAAACATGTGACAGTAAGCCCCCCTGGAAACATGTGACAGTTTTTTATTTGGTAACTTGCTTCTGAAAGAGGCAAGATACTCCTACAGATTGGTGCAACAGCCATTTTTATTCTTGAGTAACTGTCAATGGGAACATTTTGTAAACAATCAAAACACAATCTCCCCCAAGGGCTCACTCTGATGGAGTCGCAGCAATTGTACAGGATACAGGTTTGATGATGCTAGAGAAATTGCTACCCACTGACCAATTAGGAAGTGCCACACCAGGCTCTATGCAGAGGAAGGCTGACTGATGTTTGGAAAAGCTGAATAAATATCCTTCACCCAGCTATGTACGGTACTTCAACTTTGGTCATGTTTTTGGAAACGTTATAGCAATTCTCAAGAACATTTCTCAATTACCAAACCCCAATCCCCAGTCCCCAAGAAGAAAGAGAACTGTAACTAGTGGTAGGAATTCCTTTTTTGTTAACCTAATTGTAAATGTAATATAATTTGAAGCTCAGTGGAAAAGATAGTACATGTTATATCTCTGGCTTCTCAGAAGCCACTTGCTTCTGGAAACAAAAGAGGTTCAGTTTCTACCCTCTCTCCAAATCCTAGCCTCTTCAGGATCATGTGAGACTGGCTAGTGCATAAAAAAAAAGCACTTGCTACTATACACAGAGAAATGGATGTGACACGATAAAAGTCAGGCTTTGAGAAAAGAAATTGTAAGGAGGTCAGAGTAAATAAAGAGAGAGGAAAGAAGTGGCCCTGTACTAGTTTGTAGATGGTGGTGATCAAAGATACAATATGGACATAAATCTCAGTGCACAGCTGACCCCCGCAAACACAACGTGAGAGTGTAAATGAGAGAAGCCCGAATACAGCATTCACTTTCTCCTTCTGTACCTTAAGCTCAGCCAGCTTGGGAAAAGCACTGCACACAGTTAGTGAACTTATCTGAGACCTTATAGTAAGTATACATAACTATACCAAGTTGTGTGGTTATTCAGGCCAGTTACCCAGGTAGGGTGGGAGCAGGGCAGGGCTGAAAACTTGCACATAAGCTAAACTGGATGCCTGTAACTTTCCCCTTTTATCTCCATGTGGCATCTCAAATTGTATAGCATCTCAAAATGAGACTCAAAAATAAGATTTGTTATCAAGAAACACTATTTCCTTACTGCTATTTATCTAGAGGCTGAGATTTAAGGTTACTTTCCTACCAATAATGAGGGGAAGAAAATAGGAGAGCCATTGTGGAGCAATTATTTTTTAAGATACAAAAAGAATCATGCTCAGTAGTCCATGCTCAAATTGTTATAACTATGAAAAACTTCATTCTTTGCCCTTAAATATATCCATTAACTATAAAAGAGTATAGTGATTTGATTTTTCATATGAAGTAACAAAATAAGTTCTCTAGGGCAAAGCCAGTTTTCTGTTTTTCTCCAATGAAAGAAACCAATTACATGTTTTAGGAACACTGGTTATCTATTACTGACATTTTCCTTTTTTCTCATAATAAAAGCATTAGATGTTTTCTATGGAAAAATTGCAAAAATTCAAATAAGCAAAAAGGAAGAAAACAGAAAAGCAATCAAACTCACAAACCAGAAATAATCATGTTAACACTAAGGCCAAATTAGGATGTATCTTTCTAGACCTCTTTTTGTGTACATATATGCACTATTTTAAGTTTTACAAAACGGGATCATGCTATATACACTACATGGTAACCTCTTTTTTTAAAATAAATCATGGCCACTTTTCTATTAATATCCTTTGGATTTTAATAAGACATGAATAAGTTTCAATCATGCCAGATTTTAAAAAGTTCTCATAAGAACAATGAATTATAACTATGTATGGTGATGGATGTTAACTAGATCTATTGGGGTAATCATTTTGCAATATGTAATATATACAATTATTAATTCATTATGATGTTCCAAAATTAATAGACTATATATGTCAATTATACCTCAGTTAAAAAATATGCCAAAACATACCTGGAATTTTTCACCTTTGTGCATCTGAGTTGATCTAAATTCAGGAGAATCTATAAAGGCACAGGGGTAAATGTTATGCAGAAAATGTCCTCGATAGGAGACCTTCATTCTGATAACAGAAATTAATGTTAATAAATGCATAATATTTCACAAATAAATATGACAATCCTCAGAAATCTCAATGATGTTCTGGGTTTATATTTTGTACTAAAGTTTTAAAGAGTCCATAGATGATGCACATAGTTAAAAGCACTTCTGGAAGACAAGTATTTATTTCAAAATAAATTTCACCAACCATAAGAAAAAAAGAAAGGGTCAGTATTGATCCAGACATGTGCCTTCCAAAAGGTCTCTGCCTCTATGCCTAGAGTGACCGTATGATTTATGACTCAGACTCAGACACTTTCAAGAGAGAAGGGGTAGTATTAATAACTACGCCAGAACAACATACACTAGCTCTCTCCCCAGAAATTGATGTCCCTAGAAGTTATATTTGTGATCTTTAAAAAATAAACAAATCACCTCTGAAACATGCACAAGCATCTTGAATTTTAATGCCTAATTTAAACCTTCTTCAATTTTGGCTAATTAGCTTTCAATAAAAGGTCAAAAAAAAGGTTTAAAATGTTCACAACAGAAAATCCTGACATTAATAAGATTCAGAGCAGTAAATTCTATGTAACTTTAACATTTGCTCTGTAGCATTCCCAAATGCAGTCATAAAATGAAAGTTCACCACCAACAAATTCTGTCTGCTTCCTCCATTACTTGGGAATATGCCCTTCCATTCATTTTTTTACCCAGAGGCCATGAGAAGATTCAAGGCAAACTGGGAATTTCATTAGAGCACTTACTTTCCCTTCAGGAGAATACTCAGACGGTCGTCAACTGAGGTTTTATCCTCTGCAGCATAAGTCTGGCCCTTTTTTAAGGTTTGGATCATGCAAAACTGTCCAGTTAACCTTCTGAACAAATCTGGAGGCACACGGAGTGGTTCAAACAATCGCCGGTAGACACCATTGAGTTCCTTTTCAATCTTTACCTGAAATTCAGCAATGACCAGATGCTGTACGAATGCAGCCACACCAAAACATTGACTTCTGTGGTCTCAGTATGGTTTTGAGAATAAATAAATTTGTAATATGTACCATCGCCTGTCTGTATTTTAGTCAATGGAATCTTACACAGAGAGTAAGTGATGATATAAGTTTAGATGTTAAAGGGGTGCTTTCGCAGTTAAACTGAACTGAGAACATATGGGGAAGATTTGTATTATTGATCACATCTCTCCCCATGTGCTATAAAGCAACAGTGGAGGTTTTGAATGTTGTCACATCACTCACCTTCCCAATGTTAGCATTTTCTATAAATAACATAAAACTTTTTCATATTCAGAACACTTTTGTTTCACAAAAAGAAATGACACTAACTTTGAAATATTATAGCAAGAAAATAAACACATAAAATAGGCATCAACGTGGAAACATATTTATGAAAACACATACATTAAGCATTTTATCTACATGTAATTATCATTGAATGCATCCATATAGGAAAACAAACATCCACAGCTGCCATCATTGCTTCTCATTTATTCTGAAGCAAAGTGAAGAGTGTAAAAGGGTTCCAGTGTATTAGTTTTATAATAAGCTAAAATAAATTCTATAGGATAGAGAACCCACTGGCAAGTAAGGCTGGCTACTGGAGGAAGAGTAAAGCAAAATGAATCAATCATCTCGTTGTCAGACTATACAAGGCCCAGGTCACATCCGTCTTTGCACCCAGCTTTAGTCTGGGAAATTTGAACTGCATGTCAATGAACTTTGGGGTTCAAGTGATCATCTATCCCGACAAAACTTATGTCAGTCACACTATGAAGTTTATACACCCAGATGATGAGAACTGCTCAGATGTCACTGCAGCCTTTGCTCTTACTTGTCCTGTTATTTCATTTTAATGAAGAACCAGTATTTATATTTTTCAAAAAAATAGGTTTATAGTCCAAGAAAAAACAAAAACACAGATACTAAGTGATTTACTTACTTGGTGATACTACATCAGCAACTTCTGAACCTTATGTTCAAAACTTGGAGTTCCAGCAAGTTCTGATATTCGAAAACTGTAATCCTCATTATTATTATCATCTACCTCTTCCACTCCAGAGCACTAGTAATGAGTGTTTAGAATAATTTATTCACAAATATGTCCCATTTCCAGTATGTATACTAGCCAATGTAGCACAGTAATGAACATATGAACTGAAATATCTACTGACTCATATTCATAAACTGTTCATCCTGCAAGTCTTAGCTCAATTCCCAATTCCTTCATGAGGCTTTCTTAATTCTTTTCTTTGAAAGCGTCCACTCATCAAATGTTTTCTTTTGAGCACCTATTATGTGCCAAACATGGTTCACAGGAACAGGGAATACAACAGTAAGTGTGGTAGGTGATATTATTTCCAACTATTTGTTGCTCCTACCCCCTGTAAGAGGATTACACATCCCCTTACCCCATCCTACCCCCTACATTATCAGGCATGGCCATGTCACTTGCTTTGGCCAATGAAATGTGAGCAGAATTGACATATGCCCCTTCTGAGTAGAAGTTTTAAGAGACAATGGGACAAAGTTTCTCTTTTGTTCTTTTCTCTCTGTTATGAGAATACATGTCTAAACAGAACCTGCTGCTCCAGCAGAAACTCTGAAATGGAGAAGACACATGGAATAGAATCATAGCTGAGACTCTATTGCACAAATACCAGAGTTCCCATATGAGGTAGGTGAGCCAAAAAACCTGTTGCTCTCTTATGTCACTAAGATTTTTAGTGACACTAATACAGCAGGCGAAACAGACTGGCTTACAATGTTTGAGGAGGTTACAATCTAGTGGAACGCCTATTACATATATCATCTGTATCATTAAAATTCTAATTTCTTATGGATTGCCTGTTTTCTAATAGTTTCCTACATACATGTTTGGCTTTAAACATAAGTTAGGGCGGGCACTGTACCTTTTACTTTACTGAATATTTGTGTGCTCCTTGGACAATCAGTAAACATGTATGGAGTGATTTCTAGGGGCCAGGCTGTCTTCCTATTCTATTTATATCTTTTTGTTCTTGGTATGATCAAGGAAACACAGCAAGATAAATCAGAGTTGAAAAGAAAAAGTTAAATTCTAGTGTTCTGGTGATAACTCACCACAAAGAATCATTTCCTTAAATGAACATTTTGGACGTAAGAAAAAAAGACATTACCTTAAGAAATTTGCATTAAAAATGCATGAACTATTTGTAAATCACTAATATGTTTATGGAAGTTGCCCATGAGTAATTAATTTTATAGCTAGGCAAAGACAGTCCCAAGTGACATCTGAATATCAGTAGACAAAAGAAATAATGATGCTATAAAACTAAAATAGAGAACACTGTCATATTCTCTCATGTCTAAACTGCTCTAATGATTTAAAAAGTATTAAAAACTCATTGGTAGAACATTTTTTACAGTACTCAAATGTTTTGCTTCCAGGCATATATAAACAGAAATTCTCATCTTCAGAGAAATTATATTAAAGGAACTAAAGATGTTAGATGTTCATTCCCAAGTCCGAACAGAGTACTTTAAAAGCTTTTTAGCTTTAAAATTTCTTCCTCATTAATTAATTTCTAGTAATTACCGGTCTTTTCTTGTACAAAAGATATGAAAGATGCAAAATGTTGACACCGAGGAACACAGAGTTCCAGATCATGATATCCAAGGCACATCGGTAGAGAGTGGCCCAGATGATATAAAGGGTACATCCTGTTGAATAACAAAGTTAACATGTTAGAAGTTCAGAACAGCTTCAGCATGAAGCTCATAAACTTATCCTCTGTATATAAAATAAATCGAACGCATTTTAGAAATACTTAAGCCAAACATCGCATCGCTGCATTTTATTTCTTATCTGACTGGCAAAAGAGAAAAACATGTTTTGTTGCAGAGTATTTGTAAAGTTAGAAAATATTTTTCAAAAGAGGGAAAAATCCACAGTTCAACTACTTAAAGACAACCATTATTGATATTTAATACTTCCTTCCAGTCTTTATGTATCGTTACCTGATGGCACAACCACTGCATATATAATTTTAAAATCTACTCTATTACTTATTGCAGTTATTTTCTCATTTCATTAAAACTCTTCATGTATATAGTTTTTAATGATTGTAACTGATTAAACCAGAATTTATTTAACCATCTCCTTACTGGTGGACAGATGAGATTGGTTTGAGGTGTAATTTTTGATAAGTAGCTAAAACATTTTTATACATAAAAACTGCTCTGTTTTGTGACTGTTTGCTTAGGGTACATTACCTGACAGTCAGTCAAGGGAGTGAACATCATAGCTTTTGATAACATTGAGAAATTGTTTTCCAAAAGGTTTCTAACAAATTTATGATCTTACTTGGGAAGGCCCATATCAAGTTGTCAATATTATAAAATTTGAAAACTTAATTGATAGTGAGGAATTTTGTATTATATTATATTTTGCATTTCTGTGATTATTGGTGAGCTTGAATATTTTACAAAAATTTTCTAGCTATCTGAATTTTCACTTGATTATCCATTCATCTATAGGAATGGTTTTTCTTATCGATTCTCTTTAGATAAAATATCAAATTTCTTTTGATCGTTTCTATAGTGAGAGTCGATATATTTTTAATTTCAAATAAAATTATCAATATGATACAAATATATTGCACACACATATACACACATACACACACATAAAGCTAACCTACCATGTCAAAAAGTCATTCATTTGTAGTTTTTTATTTCATCAGAATAATTTGGGGCATCTAAATAACGGCATAAAATGTAAAACTTTAAATGTTCTTTAAATAATATTTCATAGCAAATTTTGAAGAAATTTAAAATGTTATTACTTAAAGGAGATGAGGTAACATAATGGAAGGGTTGACTGCGAAGCTGGAGGACCAGAATTATAGTACTGGTTAGGCCACTTTCTCCTCGCCTTAGTTTTGGATGAGTTATTTAACTTCTCCAGGCCCCAGTTTCTTCATTTATAAAGTATTGGACTAAATGATCTCCTTGGTTCATTCCATCTCCAAAAAACTGTCTTCAAATTCATAATCAGCTTTTGTTTTTTATAATTTTTTTTTTTTTAATTCAACACTGCTCCTCCTGCTGTAATCCCTATCTTACTCAGAGATAACACAGACACAGAAGTCCCACAAGCTACATTCCAGCTACCCTTCCAGCCTCTTCTTCAGCCATTCCATGTCATATTTCATATTTCAGGAACAATGAGCTACTCTTCATCTTCTCTTAATATGGTGAATTTCCCTCTCTTCTGTGACTTTTATCTGGATATCACACACACTCACACTCAAAGAAATTCTGCTTATCTTCCAAAAGGCAGCTCCAGTGCCTTTTCCTCAATGGGAGCTTGCTCCGCCTTCCTGCTAAGCCTATCACTCTCTCCATTTCTCCCTGGCACTGGGCACACACCTGTATCACATATGACCACCCATCTGTACTATTATGTAATACTAGTATATGCCAAGCACTATTATAAGTCAAATGCGTACATGCATACACACACACACATACACGCACTCAATTCTCACAACAATCCCAGGAGGTGGTATTATTTTTACCCTTATTTGACACATAGGGAAACTGAGGTATAGAAAGGTTAAATCACTTGCTCCAGTTACACAGTTAGCAAGTGTTGGAACCAGGACTCAAATCACACAATCCAGCTCCAAAGTTCACACTCTTATACATGAATGGATTTTCTGATATCTGGGAAATCTAAACAACATATGAAAACATACAAAGGTTTATCTAAAAGTAAGTAAGGAAATGGTGTAGCATGAGAAGGCCTATATTCTAAGTTACTTGATATACTGCTAATTTGATAAGAGAGACATATATTTGGTATGCTATAGACATGACGAGGAATTCTCTGAAACTCCCATTACAAAGCCCATCTGAATCCAGATATTAAAAAAAGTTACATAAAATCTCAGGTATCTTACCTATGGTTAACATCCCCCTAAGAAGTATCATATGGAGGTGAAGAGTAGTGGGAATAACTAACCCAATTGCAAAAAAAATATTTGCTACATGAAAAACTAGATGATGTATCTCTCTCCAGTTTTCACAAGTGGTCTCATTGGAAGGCACAGGTATAATACTTTCTAACTCAGGTTTAAAACCCATTGAAGTTGATTCTGCCAATGGGCTGGACTCGGTATAATTCATCTTGAAATGTTCTGGAAAAACAAATGAATAAAAGGACAATCATAAAAAATGGCAGCTATATCTTATCACCCCTATAGATGTTATACCAAAATTATTTCTGTGAACTAAGTATTGGTAAGTAGATTTCTCTGGTGTTTATGAATTAGACAGACCCAGTTCCTAATCCCAGCTTTATCACATACTAAATATATCCATTTTCTTATCTGTTAAATGATGATAATACCTCATTTGACTTCATATTAACATTTGACTTTATCATTAAGTGAAATAAAACATATAAAATACTTAACATAATGCACAACTATTCTCTGATATGTATATTTGCATATATATGTTTATCTCTATATGTCTGTAATATTTATATATCTATACATACATACATGATGGTGGGAGAGAGAGGAATGATGGAATTAACTAGTCTGAAAGATAATCGCCAATGTTCATAAACCACAACAATTACAAAGTTATTTAGTACAGTCTTCCATATATTTCCACTAGTGACACTGAATCTAAACATGAGAAAAAAAACTGGAAAACAGATTTTTTGAAGACTTTCAAAAAAAGACTAACATCCTCATATTTACTGTTTGAAGGCTTAAGATATTTGGAAGGCTATATTTTTATATTGTTGCGAAATCATTATATCATACATATATACATTCCACATTATTATATGCATGCATAAAAATTCTTTACTATAATCATTTATATACACCGACATATAAAATTTATTCCTTCTTTTAGTGTCTAATTTAAATCTCTACTTTCTTTCCCATAGAAAGCCTCGTTGGCTGCAGCTCACAAATTGCAAAGTAGTAAATTTCCATTTTACTTATATGTAGGAGGGGTCATGAATATACACTTAACTATTTAATATCAAAATCTGTAGCAAGTATATTTCAAAGAATATATATTTTACACAAAGTGGCACTGCTTTCTGGTTATATTATCTGTCCTCCATCTGTGGTACTTAAAAATGCTTTCTATTATTAATTATACAAATTGGTCCCTGACAAAAACTATGTAGATTTAGAGTATGTGAATTATTCTGTTTCAGGAAAATAATTCCAAATGGGGACTGAAAGTACCTTTAAATCCTTTAAATTTAATTTAGAAATATATATTTCTTTCCAAGTAATGCCATAATTAACATACTTTTCCATTCATTTTTTCATCATACTTAAGTAAAGGTTTTAGATGGTAGAATAATTGGTATAGGTTAAGCATTTCGAAAGGCTGTTATTACACAAATGTGAAAGAATTCCACATCCTTTAAGATGATAAAAAACTTACACACGCAAACTTACAAACTGTGAATATAATGATTAAGTCAATTAAAGATCTCCTCATATAATTCTGAAATAGCTCATAAATATTAAAGAAATAGTTGACTTAGATACTGATTTTCTGCAAAAAAGAAATAAACCTTAAAAATTTAACCACTCTCCAAATGTATGACTCAATAAAAGTATAAGCCTAATGGGATGGGAGGCATTATTATTTTAATAGCTCTACTTACTCAGTCTGCTTTAAAGAATCAAATCAGAATTAATCTCATAATTTCTACAGGAAGGAGAATAATATTCAATGTCCTCTATCACTCATAAGCTAATGTCAATGTCAGCTTGTGCATTAGTATTACATAAGCTAACAATAACTACCATTTCTACTGCACTTTAGAACATGCTTTCACTCCCATTGTCCTATTTGTTCTTCTAACTACCCTATGTTCTTCATGAGGTAGGGGTAATGTCATATTCATCTATGTACATCAAAGGCCTAGCCTCTGTAGAGAATACCAGAGGCAAAGTTCTACACCAAAGGGATACGAACAATGAGGAACACTGTTTGAAATCACTTTTCAGTTTCCCCAAACCTTGACAGTAGACAGCAGTGTGCCTACCCTTTCTAAGGTTGAGAGACTCAGTGTGTATAACACCACCCCCAGGAAAGCCACATAAGCCAGGGAAAATCACTTCTGCTCTTTGAGTCTGCTTCTTCTTTGGAACAGAGGTGGATGGACTAAGGCAACTGGACTAGATGGTCTCTGAAACCTCTTCAAGCTTTAATAGCCTATGCCTCTAATACACATTTATATAAGAAGTTAATTAATACATATCCCCCTACACACACACACACACACACACATCTACCCCATTATACTTGTACTGCCAATTAATCCACTGTTCAATTTCAGGCTTTTAAAAGTTCTTCAAGTGGCACTAAAACTACCAATTTCAGGTCCAAGAGAAATGATAGGAAAACTACGATCTACTGACCCAAGAGTCAGAAAAATAATATGAATTTTTAAAAGGTGAGATCACCCTATAACATATATTGATGTACTATACCTTATTAAAGACATATACATATAGTCTATGAATTTATTTAATTTTCTACATGTACTTAGTATATTAATTAACAATGTATATTTATTATATATAATTCATTAATTTGTATGCATCTATTGTCTATTATTTGTCTATGTATACTTATCTATATGTCAATTTTGAAATTCCAGTTACCTATTGTCAATAAATATTGATAAGATCTTACCGGTTTCAGCTTCCCTTTATCTCTATTAGTGGATTTAAGTGGTTTACACTGAACTATCCTTATATAGAGAATAAATGGGTCTAATGAGGAAGATCAGACTGGTTAACTGGTAAACGTTCAGATTAATTTTGACTAAATTAAGAAAAATTTTTTCTTTCTCCTATTAGTTCCTTGGAGTCTAATTCTTTAAATTAAACCTGGTCTAATAAAGTTCTGTTTATTGGTTTTCAAACAGGTGTTTGCAGGGCTAAATAGCTAAAGGGTGAACCTAACCTTAACCCTTCACCAAACTACAAAAATGAAAAAGATAACAGCAATGAGCAAAAGTCGTGCTAGTCGACTTACTCTATTCATTCTGTAATTCTAACAACCTTTGCACATTTCGAAATGGCAAAGGGCATTGAGTCGCTAAGAGTTTTTTCGCATGTCTTGCTTCATTCAGAGCAAGCAGTTTCTGGGACTTGTGTGGCCAACAGACCCGTTTCCCAAAGCTCCGGAAACAGGAGCATTGGAGATGGCGGTGGCGAGGATCTTGGGTTCCCTAGCGATCTGCAACCCCCCCACGCAGGGGCCCCGCTTACCTGGCTCCTTAAAGAAGGAGGGTCAGTGTCAACCGTTCTTGACCCGGAGCTCTCCGGACACGAGGGATGTGCACTGAGCGCGGTGCCCCACCTCGCACTCTCAGCGCCCGACCCGGCGGCGACACGCGGGACCTGGCGACCCTACAGAAGGCGAGGAGAAGCCGTAGTGGGTTCGGGGGTAGCGAGCCCTGGGAGCCCAGAGCGGAGAGGAGACGCGGAGCTCATCAAGGATTTGGCCGAAGCAGAGCGCGGGAACCGGCACCCGATGGGGACCGAGCACCCGGGGACGCTGGCACTACCAGCTCCGAGTTGCAGCAGCTGACATTTGAGGGTCTGTGGCCTCGGCACCCAGACCCTGGGAGAAGGGTGGCTTCCAAAGACAAGAAACCCCGAGAGGGCGCGGCCAGCGAGGAGAGGGCGGCCGGGGCGCGGAGAACAGGCAGCAGTCTCCGAGGCTGCCAAAGTTGCTCCCAACGGAGCGGGGATCCAACTTTCGCTTCCCGATTTAGCCCCGAGAGCGCGAGGCTGCAAATAGCGGGGCCCGTGGAGGCAGCTGGCGGCAGCTGCGCCTCCCGCTCCTTACCTGGCTGGTCCCTGGTATCGAGCCTGGGCGGCGCTAGCCAAAGTTTGGGGTAGCAAAGGCGGGGCGCGGGGGACACGGTGGCGGCGGCTCGATGGGCGCCCGAAGCGAAAGCCGTGGCGGATCCAGCGCAGAGGCTCCTCGACGCGTGCCGTATCTAGCCAATGCTGATCCAGAGGTAATATTTTTTAAGCAAAAGAATAATATAATTAGATTCATCACTAATTGGGACAAAATGGGAAAAGGAAAGTCACTTGGTTGCAATAATCTACATGAAACGCCCCGGCGCCCCCCGGCGGGCGGAGCTGCCAGTCTTCTGCAGGACTCCCAGCGCGTCTCGTCCAACTCCACGGCGGTGTAGTCGGTACACCCGGGATCAGTTTGAAACACCCGCTGATTTCCTTCCTCGTTTCCTCTCTACTCGATTCTGCCCGTGTTTGGGCATGAGCGGGGGGCGGGCAGCATTGTGGGACCAGCGGCGTGGGTCGTTTATCCCCCTGGGGATAACTCGAGCCCTAGAGTCCCAGCAGGGAGAGCAATCAGAGTAAGAAATGAGAACCAGAATCTTCGTTTCCCCTCAAAGTCGAACGACCCACTCGCATAACTCCTTTCTGGGACAGTCACCCGCCGCTCGACATAAGGAGGGAAGGCCCGGGAGCGCTCAACTCGCGTCTGAGTCTGTCGGCGGAGGCTGGCTGTTTGGTCCATAGGGACGCAGGGCACCGCCCTCGGGACCGGCCAGGGGCCGGAGCAAGCCCGCCCTGATGCTGCGGGGGCCACGCGGGAGAGACTTTTGACACGAGATACTGTTTCGTTTTCAAAGAAGGAGAGTATTTATCCGGAATTTGCGTTCCTATGGTGGTGCAGGGCCCTCTACTGTAAGGTAACTCGGCCGTATTTGCCATGTAAATTTGGTAGGTTTGGGACCATAAATTGGTAAACAAGATATGAAAGTATGCTCCAATCAGTCTTTACTGTTTATAGAAGACGACTATTTTGGGTAAGAAATATAGGGCAAAATAATGAAGAGTTGGAGTGAGGGGAAGGGTTAGAGGACAAAAAAAGGAAGATTAGCTGGGCATTCAGTTTCCACCCAAAGTGTCCCATTGTGAGGTAGAATTTGTGCCTGTTATTAGAATCTGAGGTCGCTTATTCATGCCAAACATGATCTAAATATAAAAAGGACCACAGGTACATTATAAAGTGAGTAACCGGAAGTGCTTACTTGCCATATCTCACCAGTTGGGTGGCAGTGCGGCATTGTGTTCAAGACCATGTAGTGTTGGGCGGACCAGTTTTGAATCCTGTCTCTGCTACTAGCAAGCTGTGTATCCTTGAGGGAGTTACTTAGCTTTTCTATGCCTCATTTTCCTCTTTTGTACTGTGGGGCTGCTGCTGCTAATGATAATTGTACCTATACCTCGAAAGATTGTTTTGAGGACTAAATTATTTTATACACACACACACACACACACACACACACATATACACTTGTGTGTGTATGGCTTAGAATGGTACATAGTACATAGCAAATTCTATTATATGTGAATATATGTTATACTTATAAAGCTCCTCTAACATGTTTGAAATTATAAAGCTCTTCTAACATGTTTGAAAAGCTCCTCTAACTATACAAGATTAGTTTTCAAAGCCACTTATTCAGAATCTGTTTCTTTCTAGATGTCTACCTGACATTTTGGTAGCTACCACTAAATATATTTTAAGATGTAGATATAATAATAAATGCATGCAAAGATTTTGCGTGGATATTCATTAGAGGGTGACTTATAATAATGAATCCTAGAAATAACCTACATTCTAACCAAAGGAGACTGATTATAGGACATCCAATCTTGTTCTAAGCAACAATTAAAAATAATTTATAGAAAGATAATAGAGACATGATAATGTCTATTAGTTATCGAGAATAGAGGTTAGCAAACTATGGCCCAAAGGTCAAGTGCACTGCCCATTTTTGTATAGCCCTTGAACTAAAATTGTTTTTACATCTTTTAATGGTCGAAATAATCAAAAGAAAGTAGTATTTCATGACATGAAAATTATATGAAATTCAAATTTAGTGTCCATAAAGTTTTATTGGAACCCAGCCACCTCATTCATTTATCACCGCTTTTGTGCTACAAAGACAGCATACAGGAGTTGCCAAAGAAACCATATGACCTTGCAAAGCCTTAAATGTTTACTGTCTGGTTCTTTACTGAAAAAAGTTTACTGCCCCTGATATGAAGTATACTTTGTGCCAGTCACTGTTTTAAGTGGTTTAGATTTATTAGGCCACTGAATCTTCACAGTGGACCTATGAAGAAGCAGTTACTATGTTTATCTCCATTTTATAGATGGGAATCTGAGATGAGAGGTTGAGTAACCTGCTCAGGGTCACACAACTAGTGAGAAGCTGAGCCAGGATATGGACCAGGAAGTCTAGTTCCAGAACTTGGACTCTTGTCCACTAGGTACACAGTTTCTGCCTCCTTCTAACTATAGCTACACTGTCTCCCATGGAAAGATGTTAGATAGAAAAAGGTGAGTTACAAGAGTGTATAGAATATTACAAATCATCCAAGATGATAAGCACTAAAATGCTTTTTTATCTTCCTTACCTCTGAGTGATGAGATCGTAAATGATTTTTCTTTTTTTTTCTTCCTCCTTCTTTCCATCTCACCCTTCCTTTTTTCTTCCTTCCTTCCTCTCTCTCTCTTCTTCCAATGCTTCCTGGTTCCCCTCCTTCTTCTCTTGTTAAATGTTCTACAATAATTATGCATGCTACTTTATAATAGTGTAAAATTATTTATTAAAATAATAGAGCCCAGGTTTTGGCCTTTACTGATGGGAAAGCCAGACTCCAGAGGTATGGTTATAGAGTCAGCTGTTACAGGACGTGTTCACTCCTTACCTAGCAGGACAGGATACCTGTAAGGCATTTAGGTCGTATAAAGATTGCATACTTTTACAAAAGAGCACTGGATTCAGTATCATGAGACTTGAGTCTTGGCCTGTGATAGAGCCTGTGTTTTCTCTGAGTCTATGTTCCATGGAAAGAGGAGACTGAACTAAACCTAAATCCTTCGCTATAACCAATTCAAGAATTAAAAACATTATTTTATATTTAAATTCCTTATCACTGACATGTGAATACTAGCTCTATAAAATTCAAAATAATAATTCTAAACACAGAAAGTTGGTTTTGGGAATGACTTAGGCTGCTTGGTCTCCTCCTGCTGGTTATGGAAAGATCAGATTGAAGATTTGGAGCACTATTTGAAAACTAATATGATGCAAGGAGGTAACTTGCACAGATGTATATAATGAAAAGGATACAAGGCATAAATAACGAATTATAGGGAAGCATGTCTCCTCTGCAAAAACTGACTAGTACAGCTTAGCTTGCCATAAACAATTATTTCTACCTCTATTTTTCTGTGGGCATCCAAGTCTGCTTTTACTATTTGGACAAAACTTTGATGAGATTTCAAAGTTAGATAGAATAAGTTTTGTGAAAATAAAACAGGACCCGAGAGAGTCATTGGTTTTAAAACTATGTAGCTTTATCTTTCTTATTTACACTGCCCATGGTTTACATCAAGGTAGACCTTCTTTCAACTGTTACTCCTACTCACAGAGAGACCATAGCTTCTTCTGATACGGTCTCATAGCAGACAGTTCTAGTCAAACATGGATTATTAAACAATGATTTAATTAGATTCTTTTTGTACCTAAGTTCCTCTCATTAAATGTTACATTATTTCATTGACCAGTTTGACAGCCAACCTCACTGATTATTTTAAATTTTTCCTTTTAAAAAAATTAATAGACTTTTTTCGTTAGAGCAGTTTTAGGTTTATAGATGATCAAGCAAATAGTATAGAAAATTCTCTTTCTCAGCTGTTCAATTTCCCCTCTTATTAACATCTTGCTTTAGTGTGATACATTGTCACAATTGGAGAATAAATATTGATAGAACTTTTTAAGAAGAGTTTACATTAGAGTTCATCTTTATGTTGTACAGTCCTGTGGGTTTTGCCAAATGTATGATGTCATGTATTCACCTATGTATGACATAATAAGAAATATATATTTGGTTTCTTTTTCTAGTTCCTGACACAGAGTTCCTGAAATCCGCGTAATTTCCTGGATCATAGAGGTAGTTGGAGCATCCTTTGTTCTAATATTTAGTCTGTGTCTTCCAATTGCTGTCACAGTGCTCCTAAAACTTTTGTAATTCCCAAGCGATGGGATGATGAGAACATCTTACACAGAGCTTCTAAGTCTCTTGGAATTTCCTGGGTGATGGGAGTGTATTTGTTCTAATGAGATGATTCTGGGTGGGCTCCCAGGTAGCTTCAGGATGGGTCCTGGTAAGCAGAAAGGCTAAGCCATGCATGATAAGAAGCTTGGAACTCTCAGCCACACTCTTTGTTCTCTGGAGATTGAATTAATAACTGATCATACCCGTGTGACAAAGCCTCCATAAAAATCCCTAAACTGAGGGGTTCGGAGAGTTTCCAGGTTTGTAAACACATCTATGTGCTGGGAGAGCAGTCCACCCCAACTCCACAGGGACAAATACTCCTGTACTCAGGAACCTTCTGGATGGCCCTATGTACCTCTTCATCTGGCTGTTCATTTGTATCCTTTATTATACCTTTTATAATATAATCAGTAAATGTGTTTCCCTGAGTTCTGTATGAGTTGTTATAGAAAATCACTAAACCTGAGGACAAGGTTGAGGGAACACCAATTTATAGCTAAGTCAGACATGGAAATGAGCCCTTTACCTGGAGTCTGCACTAACTCTGGGTAGTTAGTGTCAGAATTGAATTGTAGGAAACCCATTTTGTTGTGGAGAGCTAGAGACTTAGTTAGTGTGGGGAAAACCCCCACATATTTGATGTCTGAAGTGTTATGAGTAGAGGAAACAGTTTTCCTTTGGTAATGACACGTAGCCACCATTATAGTATCATACCTAATGGTGTCGCTGCCCTAAAAATCCTGTGCTCCACTTATTCATTGCTCTTCCTCCTCCTCTCCTCTCCCTAACTCCTGGCAAGCACTGATTTTTTTTTTTTTTTTTTACTGTATCCATAGTTTTGCCTTTTCCAAAATGTCACATAGTTGGCATCATATAGTATTGACTTTTCAGATTGGCTTCTTTCACTAAGCGATATGCACTTAAGGTTACTCTATGTCTTTTTGTGTCTTGATAGCTCATTTTTTAAATCACTGAATAATTTTTCAGAGTATGGAGGTACTATAGTTTACTCATTCACCATTTTTAAAGAACATCTTGGTTTCTTCCAGTTTTCGGCAGTTATGAATGAAGCTGCTATAAACAGTTCTGTGCAGGTTTTTGTGTGGACATATTTTCAACTCGAGTAAATACCAAGGAGCACAATTGCTGGATAGTATGGTAAAACTGTGTTAACCTTTTAAGAAATTGTCAAACTATTTTCCATAATAGCTATACCATTTTCCATTCTCACTATCAGTGAATGAGAGTTCCTGTTGCTCCACATTCTTGCTAGCATTTGGTATTATCAGTTTTGGGAATTTTAGCCATTCTAATAGGCGTTTTTCACTTTTTAAACTGACTCGGTTAATTTATTCAAAATAAGCAAACAGGTTAAGCACTGAACAGGTGTTTTGTATCTTGGCTAAATAAAAGACAGGGAACAACATCTCAAAGCAAAGGGGTGTAATCTTTTATGTTATTGTTATATCCCCAGGCCCACAGTCTGAAAAATGTTTGAAACAATGTCTAACTAGTTCTAATACTAAATTCGAGGAAAAGGTTTCTTTAAAAAGTTGAATTAAATTTGATTCATTGAACAATGATCTCTTACCCAAAGGGTTCATTCAACAACTCTTAAAAGAAACAAAATACAACTAAAATGTAAAAAAGTGACCTGGAACATTAAGAGGGCAGTGAATTATGTAGGAAGTCAAAAGAATGGGGGCTTTGGAATTATCAGCTGAGTTTGTACCATGGTTTTATATTTAATAAGCTCAGTAAGTTAAATTTTTATCAAGCCTTTCTGAGCCTCAATTACTTGTATGTTAAACTGGGAAAATAATTCGTAGTTGATAGGATTATTTTGTCCTTTAGAGACTGTTTTTAGAAACGCTTGGCGTTCAGCTTTCGGTAACTTAATTGTACATCTCTTCTATCTAGTGCTCTGCACATGGTACACAATCAATAAAAGTTATTAGAATTTCAGTCATCAAAATTCCCTAATCTGATAAAATAGTTGAAATATTATATAAACACATAAAATAACTATGATGTAGTTTCGTTTTCTATGTATTTGTTTGTTTTAAATAGATGGAATATAACATGCACAAGACCAATGTTTCAAATAAAATTTGTTAAAATTGCAAGACTTTGGCACATGTTAAAATTTCCAGTGGTCTGGGATTTCCTTGGAGTAGCCAGAAATAAAATATAGACTTCAAAAGCAAACTCATGAAATATGCAGTAGTATAGATTCTAGAAACTGGGCACTTGGCAGAGCTAAGTTACAGTAATTCATCATCTTGGGGTTGGCAGAAATGCGTGTATAGTGACTATAATGTCCATAACTAGAGGCCTGATATTTGCTTTGTGTATTCTTCCACGTATAGATTTTCTTCTAAAACGGAAGAGTTGAATTTGTGAATTGTTGTTTTTAAATATTGACAATAACAAATGAAGGCCATAGATGAAGCATTTAATAAGATGTCCTAACTTTTTGGAAAGTTATTTCAAAGAGAAGAAATTTAATTTATTATAAGTAACTCAGAATATTATAAGTAACAGAATCATTTTTTTTTTAATGTGTGGAAAGAGGATCAGAGTAGTAGCTCTGAATTCACAATCAACCCCAAAGCCTCAAAGATGGAGCTCAGGTTGGATCCACAAAACAAAACTGGATCCAGGGTCCAGGTAGATCCCTCACCTCCCCCATGCCAAGCAGGTTCAGAAGTCTGGCACCAACCACTGTGATGACCTCTCTTGAGTTTTGTTCTTTCTCTTTCTCAAAATTCCCAGACCCTTGAAGCCTATCTATGAATCCCAAGTTAAGTACTTCTGCTTTTAGAGAAGAGAAATGCAACAACCCGAGGATGACACTTTTAAAGGTACTGATTTTTAAGTGTGTAAATAATTTCTTTATATGAGGTACCTGGTGGTTGGAAAGTTGTTAATAATAGAAAAATAACTTTTGGCAGTTCTTAATAACATGCAATCCGATGGTATAGATATGATTTTAATTGAAAGCAAAGCCATGGAATGACTTAATCTGTATCTGGTGAGAGAAGAACTTTTGATCATAGAGTTTCTAAGCAATATCATTCTGGTATATAATTAATTCTCAAAAAGGGCTGGTTTTGGAGGCAAATGAGAGGCCTGATAGTGGCCGACCTGGTAATTGACATCAGCTAAAAGCAAAAACCCTAAGCAACACATTATAAAATTGAATAATAAAAAAAGTTGGGAATAATAACGCTGCCATTTAGCATTAATTGATGTGTAAAAGCACTCAGAGTTCCCAGGAGAAGAGAATTATTTAAATGCTGATTTTTATTATTACTACTACTTAAGTTATTGTAATAAATTTATGAAAATAAGATACTGTGCTAGTTTAATGCATATATAAACCCTAATAGAATATTTATGAGCCATATACCAGCAGTTTTATCTGTAGGCATTAAAAAAATAGTAAACAAGATGGAACATTTCTTTAGTCTAAGATTAAGTATATTAAGGACAATTTAGAACCACACAAAACGATTATGATATTGGATTTGAAAACTACAGAGACCTTCATAGTCTTTCACAGGAGAAAAAAGGTTGAGTTTTGAAAAGATATGGGTTTTATAGTCATCAAGTCTCTTTGTAGAGTGTTGGAAGAATAGAATACCTTGGGTACGAATTTTCCAATGGGACACCATTTTGGTTTATATGCCATACGCAAAACTATTTTTATGCAGTTTTACTGCCCAGTGTAGGGATTTCTTCATATTTTTTACATCAACTATACCACTTTAAGTTATTTGAAAAGAAGTGTAATGAATATATTATAAGCTCAGAAAATGGCATCTAAAAGCAACAGAGAGTTCCAATGCAAGTCAAGAAATCTTGCAGATGATTTCATATGACTGTTTAATGGATAAATAAAACTTCTAATACCAAGAAAATTGTAGTTGAATAGAAAAAAGTCTAGTGGAAAATATTACTCTTAACGACCATTATAAGATGCTATATGATGAAACCATTAAAATGCCTTGGCATTTCCTACTTACTTTATTAATGATTTAATTTGTTGGCAAGTGTTTTAAAGTGATGTTACAGAACTATCAGAGCAGTTAGTTTTTATCTCTATTATAGCTTTTATCACTTACCACCTTTTATATATTTATGTACAAGTCTTAGTTCTTCCTCTTGGTCATAAGTTTCTGGATGGTAGGAACTGTGTCTGATTTATCTTCCATAGCTCTAGCATGTGATTTGCATATATTTGAAACTCAGTAAGTAATAATTGATGGAATAATTGAGTGCATTTGCTTTCAAGTATTATTCTTAAATAGATAAAATAGTAAATATTTTTTTATTGTGTTTTACAATTTAAATTATTATGAATGGGGAGAGTACAGAAGAAGTATATACCACATGTTAATAGAAATTGGGTTAGAATAGTAGAATTATTTTTTTTTATTATTCCAACTTGTTTATAGTATAGTCATATTATCTTTTTAAAGGAAGGAATAAATAAAAACAAAGTTACACTTAATATTCTACTAGATTAAACATCACTTTATTAGAATTATGACCTCTCTACCATAATAGTGACACTCTACTCCCCTGCTCCTCTGATCCTCCCCATCACCATCTGCCTCTCCTCTCTCTTCCCTCTAACTGATATTAATAATGAAACAAGAAAAAGTTGTAAAAGATAAGTTAGGAAGGAATAAGAAGAGTTGATGGTTTAACCCTGAGATGCATTGATTTATTCATTTAGAAACAGTGAGTGGGAAATGCCTGGTGTCAGGCTGCAGCAGTGCGGGAATAATGCAGAGACCTCACTGTCAGAGGCAAAGATAGAACCAGCCATACTCTAGGGCCATCAGCTCAGATGCCCAGAGACCAAGTGGCCAAGCAACATTGCAGTGGAGAAAGGGAGAACTCAGAGGACAGAGGTCAAAGCACGTCTCCTGCTCTGCCATTAAGCTTTGTAAACTTGCCCCCTGGAGCAAGGAGAGAAACACAAAAAGAAAGACTGAGGGATTCATTTTGAATGACTGTTTAAAATGAAAAGAAACTACTTTTAAGTTCTAGGATCAAGTGTTTTCTGACATTACTGGGAAGAGGGTGTGAAAGAGTGAGATCAATGGCAGGTTAAAGAAAGATGCATTTTGTATGTATCTGATGAGTATCTCCTCAATTGATACCAGTTGCACATTTTATTCATTTTTTTTCAAAAAATAATTTAAGGAGCATTTGCTATGTACCAGGCACTAGGCCAGGAGTGATTTTTGCACAGCAAAATAGAAGTATGGAGACTGGCTTTAGGTGAAGTCAGAGGAGCTCCTAAAGTATAAATTTTTGAGAAAAAGGAAATATGAAAACCAGTCTAAGCTAAATCATCTTGCAGATTTCCAAACTTAAGAGTGATTTTGGAACCTGAAAACTAATAACTGTGCATTCTAAACAAGTGTGCTCAAATTCACTTCAGCAACATCAGGAAGAAAAATGTGACTTTGAACATCAGTTAAGGAATGGTAGTTCTGCATCACGCAGGAAAAAAATGACATTTTACAGGTCTGACATTTTATTTCATGATAATACTGCCAATGGTATTGCATCATTGAAGCCAAATTGGGAGGGGGATTCAGTGTTAAAATTCAGATACGGATTTAAGAACAGATGCAATTACTTTCCTTTTACTTGACAAATATTTACAAAGCAACTACCTTATGTCAGGCACTGTTCTCAAACAGTGAACGAGATGTAGACTAGTAGGAGAAATCCTTTTCTCAGAAAAAATAGATATTATGCTGGTGCACTGGCTAAACTTTTATCTCAAATTAACCAATTTATATCCCACAGTAATACCCTGTTCTTCAGAAGCCCTCACTTATATACAAGAAAAATATCATCTCTATCTTATAGACCTTACTTGCTACTATTTGAAAAAGCTTCAGTTTACAAAGTTTCACTGTACCTAAAATATTATTCTGTCTTTAAAGAGAGAGAGAAACAGCACTACAAGGGGCACTGAATTAATTTATCTATAAGTCGGGGAGGTGACACATAAAGTTCGGTGGCCTGAGAAAAGGAAAGATTCTCAGTAAAATTTCTGGAAAGATCTCAAATGATCCATATCTGAAATATCTGAAATGAAATTGGACAGATCCAAAATTTGAAGAGCCTACTTAAACTGCATTAAAGAAGCTTGGCAATGCTCTTTCATTATATAAACTTATAGCCATTTTATTAGCATTACATTTAATTACACATTTTACTTGTAAACCACATTTGAGCTCAAGCTAATCGCTGATGATTTGGAAGAAAGGTTCATTTTTGGATAATGTTCCTTGTACTAGACTAACACAATCAGTAGAAGTGTAATAGCTTTTTGGCTTTGAGTTTTCTTTCATTTGAGATTGGGGACATTTTAGTTCTCTTCAAGTCACTTAGGAACACCTTGGTCAGTGTAGCGTGAAAAATGCAAGGACACTAATTTGGAAGAAGTGGCTTAAGTTGGGTGTCACCATTTACTGCGATTCAACCTCTTTAAACTTTATCCATGAAATGGAATTCTTCCAAGGAACAAGCAGATTAAATCATGTATAGGCACATGCTTTGTAAACTATAAAGTATTAAATACATGAAGTATATTGTTTTGGAATTATATAATTTGGGCAATAATGTTATATTTAATAAGAGTAGTAATCTGAAGTTAGATGACTCAAAACATCTGGTATTATATCAAGTAGAGCTAAAATCCTACTATAAAATTATGTAAAAACAAGTATTATTGGTATCCTATAAATAAAATAAAATTACATTTATTTAGATTACCAAAGCTTGAATTGAAATAAAGGGAAAAATGATAATTTGGTACACAAATTATCAGTTCTTAAGGGGAAAAAGAAAGTTTCCTGTCAACCTTTAATAGCTACCAGTTTTTAAAACTAGTGAAATTTAGCAAAATAATAAAACTTCGAATTATTTTCAAATCATGCTGATATATGCAAATGTACAATCCAGCATTAAAATTATGGTAATACTCATGATAAGATGACTAAGAGCTAAAGTAACTAATATTTCAATCTTGCCACACCTTTCTATTATTGTAAGAGTTTTGGCCTTAAAGTAATACACGGTTCTATCAAATTAAACTTGTATTTTATTATAATAAGTCTATGTAATACCAATATTTTATTTGTATGTTTTATTGATATGTCCGTATTAAATTTTAGTAGAATGAAGAAAATAATGGAATTAATTGGGCCTATTGATTTCTCTAATTTCTATAAAAACTCTTTTACTAAAAAACATTAATTTGGGAACACCGTTTCTGAAGGTTAATTTCTTCTATAATCGTGTGCAATATAGTGGAACATGCAACTCAGAAAGTAGAGTCGAGGGGTGACTCCATAGTGTAGTGGTTAGCACATCTGCTTTACAAGCAAGAAGGTCCTGGGTTCACACCCCAACTGGAGCCACGGACCAACCAGGCCCCAGGTGGAGCCACTGACCAGGCCCCGGATGCTCGCAGCAAGCCTGTGGGAGGAGATGCCCCACCTTCAGAGATCCAGTTCTTAAGGGGAAACAGCAACATCCATAGGTCAGGGGTGGAAGGAGGGAGGAGAATTAAAAGAGGTGGAGGGGAAAAATGTAGAGTCAAATGCCACATATATATTTATGCCCTTGGTCAAACCAGGAGTCTGAAGTACATAATGTTGTATAACGTGTTGCTCTTATAATAATATGTACTGTCTGCCTAGTATGTTTTTCTATGGCTCTTGTCAGCTTAGTTGAGGGATTTCACTTTGTAACTGGCTCTGTCAACTCAATTAGGTTTTTCTGGTTCTGTGCAATATAACAGTATGACACTGAGAGCTTATCCAGATGAGCAGAGAGCAAATAAATTTCGTTCTGCCTCTCTGTTGAAGACGAGAGAAAATTCTTCACCCAGTAAGTGCTCACATAGCAAATATCAGACTATTCTTTATGGTAGATTAATCTCGGGACCATAGATGGTGCAGAATCCAGGACAAATCATGCTGCTCCCTTCTCATATTTGCACAGAGGTCAGATCAGGTTCAAAAGAGTAGCCCCTGGGGGAACAAGAAGCCTCCAAATGTCCAGGCGAAGTAAAGGTTGTGCAAGAGGGGCCTGCAGCCTCCCTGGCACCTCCAACTTGCCTTGGTGCCTGGTGTGGAGATATTTATGCTTGATTTTAAGCCACTCTCTTTACCCCTCAGGCGACGTCTCAGAGTCCTTTCTGACCACGAAATTTAGGGCAGAAAAATCACACAGCAATCACCCCAGTTTCTTCAAGCCCTAGGGACAACTCTTAGCCAGGGCCAGCTTCATGGGCATGTGACCTATACAGTCACAAAGAGCCCCAGGCTTACAAAAGCCTCACATTTGGTTTAATGTTCTACTGTCTGGATCTTGAAATTCTTAATACTTTTTAAACAAGGTGCTCCATTTATTTATGTATATACAGATCTTGTACACAAAGCCATAAAGCATTTTTAACACAAGAAAACAACCAGTTCTTCATTTTATTGCATTCTTATCAATAATAAATGAATCAAAGGAATTTAGGGCTGGAAACAATTAGGTTGAGATGAAAACAAGCCCAATTTTTAATAGAAGTTAAATTTTAAGTGCACTGCAATATTGTACTTTAGGAGTACTTTTCCAGGATATCAGTGGTTTTGTTAGGTAGCTAGTCAGAATGAGTGACAAGGGGAAACAAAGGAATAGGGGCCCAGCCTAGAGACCGCCCAAAGAACACCCCAGTGGTAGTAGAATTCTGGGGTAGCATGTGCACTCTAGGCAAAGTTATTGCCTAGTGTCATTCAGGTGTCAATCAAAATGACCTCACTTGCCAATCACCTAGGAATGCCTTTGGAACACTCATCACGGCCCAATTAGAAGGCACATTATCCCACTTCTGGGCCCTTTTTTTGCCCTTCTGGGCTCTCCTCCCTTTTTGGTGACGTTTTTTGACTTTTTTACCCTTTTGTAGCAATTTTGGCCCCTTTGTGTTCATTACAGCGCTGGGACCATGTGCCTCCTTGGGACATACTTCGTCTTTCTAAAATATACTTTTAATAAAACTATTAAATCTCAATGACCTGTGATTCTTCACTGCTGTTATTTGAGGAGGAACCGAGGAAAAATGCTAACTACATGTCTGTGCCATCGTTATCCCTCTCCCCACTGCCATTGGGGCGACACCGAACTCTGATTGACCCCAATGGTGACAGTTTCTTCTTTCCATGTAGGTTGATTAGAGTAGTTTGAGATGGTGAAATGTGGTGACATTTCAAACCAAACATGCAGAGTAGATACATAGAGGTCACTACAGGGTTTTAATTTTCTTTCTCTTTTGAAGAAAACCTGGGTGCAAACCAAGGTGTTGTATAATAGCCTATCTGTTAATACCTAGGGATGGTGCTCGTCACACATCCTTTATCCTAGGATGTTTGCACTCCTTCCTCCTCATCCTGAAAATGTAGATTTATGGAAAACTTGTATATAAATTCTTCTCCCTCTGTCACAGAATTCGAGCCAAAAATCAAAATCCCATTTTTGTGTGGTTTTGATCTCTGTTGACTATTATGGTTAGAAAGCAATCTGATAATTAACCCCTGTTAAATTATTAGCTGGTACTAACTTAAGGTGTGACTTCCACTTAGGGTGTTTTATTTTGATATTTAATCCCACAAAGTCTTAAAGACTCAAAGGAATGAGTTTTCCCTGAGAGCCACTGCAAAGCCCACTCACAAGCCAGTGAATACTTACTGAAGGCCTTCGACTGCTCCAAGCAGAGAGCTGCCATTGTATGTGCTTGTAAGAGCTGCCCTTGATGGCCATGTGTGTCTGGGAGATGGAAGAACCCCTCCAACTATTCATTTAGTTCATACCAAACTTAAATAGCTCAGTAGCTGATCCAGACTAATGATTCAGACCTTGTCACATTGTCCCACTTATGGCAGATGCTAAACATGCAGAAAAAGGACTGTATTTTGCATAACCCCAATACTTCTTTCCCCATCCTCCTTGCTGACTTTGCTTCCTAGGTCACTGAGAAAATAGAAGTAATTATGAGAGAACTTTTATAAGTTCCTACCACATTGCTCACTTGTCAGCAACTGTCCTCCCATATATTCTGTTTTCTCTCCTTACTGTTAATTATCCATATTCTAGTTTAAGGCTACTGGATCCCATCACCACTCCCTTGCTCAAGATCACTCCAGCAATTCATCCCTTTTTTCTGGATCATTCTTATCAAGATACATATATGCCATATTTCTCTTTTCTTCAAAACAACAACAAAAACATCCTTTCTCTTGACCTCACTTCCTGCTCAGGCTACTGTTAATTTTTATTTCTCCTCATATCAAAACTCTTTTGAAAAACTTACTTATTCTTGCTCTTCCAAATTCTTGCCTCTCATTTCCCCTCAATCTACTTCAAATTTTTGTCCCCAATCACTCCACTAAAACTGCTCCTGTCAAGTTCACCAGTGACTTCCATGCTGCTCTACCCAATGATTTATTCTCAGACCTCTTATCACTTGACTTGTCAGCCACATTTGTGACAGTTCATCGCTCCCTTCTTCTTGAAACACTTTCTTCACTTGGCTTCCAAGACCGCATGCTCCTGATTTTCTTCCTACCTCACTAGCTGCTCCTTCTCATGTCTTGCTGACTTTTCTCCATCTCCCTGTTCTCTTAACAATGGAGCACCCCAAGGAAAGTTCCTCACACCATTTTTCTTCTGAATCTACATTAACTTTGTAGGGCATCTCATTTAGTCTCATGGCTTTGAATATCATCTGTGAAATATTCTCAAATCTTTATCTCCCACCTAGACCTTTCTCTTAAACTCTAGACTCATCTCTTTACTTCAGTATCTAGTTGGCATATCCCACTTAACCCTGATCTCCCCTTCCAAGTCCCATTTGTCCCCCTTTCCCCCAGTCTATTCCCAGCAGGTTCACTTGTGTGATTCTATTAAAACAGAGGACAGATCACATTATTCTTCTATTTAAAATGCACCCGTGGCTTCTGGTCACTCCCAGAATAAAAGTCAAAGTCCTTACCATGACTTATTAGACCCCACCCAATCTGTTCCAAATGGTCTCTTTGCCTTCGCTCCATAACACTCATCCTGCTCTAGCCATGCTGGTCTTCCACTGTTTCTGCTGAGGCCTAAAGGCTTTCTCATCTGCTCTCCTCTCTGCCCAGATTTCTCTTTCCCCATATGTCTATGTGGATTGTTCCTTTGCCTCTTTCAGTCTTTGTTCAAACATTACCTTCTCTCTGAGGGCTTCCTTGACCACCCCCATTCAATTACCATGCCCCTTCAAATCCTCATTCCCTGATTTGTCTTTCTCCATGGTACTATCTCTTTCTAACATGAGGTTTTTCTGATTTTTTTTTTTTATTATTATTATTATCCGTCTCTCTCACCTCCAGAATGTAAGCTCTATCAGGTGTGAGATCTCCATCCTGATGTATCTCCACTGCCCAGGTCTGCACCTGGAGCCATGGCAAGTGCTCAACACACATTTGTTATATGTATGATGACCTACACCAAAGAACATGGCCTGCATGTAATTAATCTTCAGAGGACTAGTTTTCCAAAGATAGGGACTGGACCTAACTGAAGATCTGTCTCTTTCTTAAGCTCTTCCTTACAAAGCTGAAGGACTGTCTGTAAGGCGGATGTCTGTATTTGTGTGGTGGCTGGGGCATTCGCTATGAATCCCTCACTGTCCAGTCAAACCACTCACCTTGCCTTTTCAGCTGAACATGTGAGGTTAAAATGCTGTGTGACATTTTTACTATTTGTTCATAGGTATTCTTTTTACTCAGTAATTATGATGCAGCTTTGTTTTCCATGCAACGCCTCTTTTCAAATATGTTATTGTAAAGATTAAGCTGATGAATTATGTGTAGCAACAGAATAATCAAGAATGGCATGTTATTGTCTCTCGCATTTATTCTACTTTATAGTCAGATTAAATAACTTCACATTTAAAATAAATAATTGCTTCCCACCATAAGAGTACATCTTGCTTTCGTCAGAGGTTGTAGCAAAAAGTGAATGCTGGAAACACTGATGTGGATGGTAGCAATCCACTCTCCTGCTGAGAGCACTTACTGGCTGCTTCTAGAGAAGCAACGCCTAACGCAATAGGGCAAGACGAAAGATTTGAATAAATCTAAGGAAATACTTGAGAATGCAAGATTTCATTCTCCCAGTTCTGATGCAGAAAAAGAACAAACTGCTCATAGTTATTCCTCCCCGCCCCATTTATTCCAATAAGAAATACAGAAAAATTGGTAAAATTTATTCACAATGCAGAAGTTGAGATGAATAAAACAGCTGGCAATGGCAACTTGCCTCTGACTTGGATTTATAAAAATATCAGTGAGCTCAATTTTCTCTATTTTGCTATTTCATTTGGGGAATGATGAAGAGTGTCTTTTTTATAATTATAAAACTTCAGACTTTGATGTCATTTGTCACAATATTGTCTGGAATTCCGAAAATGTTCTATCAGAGGTGATCTGGGCATTTCTGGACTTGAAAGTTGGTAGAAGTTGGGTAACCGGATATCGTAGTGGTATCTTTTTCCTATATACACCCTATCATTCAAGGCATAGAGTTTATCTGCAATGTCACTGCCAATTAAAACTGAAAACAGGCGGGAGATGTAACGATGCTGAGCGAAGAGCAAATATAATTTCTTTCTTCTCCAAGACACATATCTACAATCAGTTTCTGCTGTGAGGGTTACCTAAAAAAATAAGACAATATACTAACAAAGATTAAGAAGCAAGAAAAGTTCTGCCACAATTTTTGTGCCCCAATTTTAAACGAATTTCCTTTCTGCTTTTTTTAGGTTAAAAAAGCCCGCTGACTCAAAATATATTGTAAAAATAGAAAACTACAAAATTTATTACTGTATATAATTTATAACATGAATAATCACAACATTGTTTCCTTCTCCAATTTATCTGTTTCCTTAAGTTCATATATCTATATTTTGCATTTTATTGAACTGAGAGCTATTTGATACTAAAAAATAATAAAGTTAACTAATGTTAGAGAAGTATTTCCAAGTCAGTCTTGAACACTGTGGTCATTTAACCTTAATCCAGTTTCATAGTACAAAATAGAATTTATTTACCTATTTTGCACATGTATATAAATTTGTATATGTATACATACACATACATTACATGTAGGAAAACAGTATACCATAATAGATAGAGCCTATTGAAATGATTATCTCTCAAAACTACCAGATGTGGCAGCAGAATAGTGACAGTAAGTTTAGCATTTTGTTACTAGAAAACAACTGTAATCCATCAGCATTTTAAATTTTAAAAATCACTTATTTTGAAATAAAGGCTGATTTTTTTTTTGTTCTTGTTGCTTTTCTAAATTGCCACAGTAGCAGTATTTAGTTTACAGTCAAATCTCAATTAATTATATTTTAATTCCCATATATACAGTTAATTAAGTGAACGAAAATTTTAAAATATTTCTCATAGACTCCTTTCTGTCATATGTAATGCCCATTCTTTTCCTTGTCGCTGGACCTATAAAGTGACATTAATCAGCCGCATTTTTTGTGCCCCAATTTTAAGTGAATTTCCCTTCTGCTTTTTTAGGGTAAAAGAGTTGAATGGCTTTGTGAAGTCATGCACGCGAAGTACATTCCAAAGTTAAATATAAATTATTCCTATTAACTGCTGTTTTGTTTGTTTGCCTGTTTTTAAATAAACATTGTTTATCTGTTTGGAAGAGGCAATGTTCCTTGTGTGTCTAGTTACCCCTTACCTGGAAAATGCCTTCCTCTGTGGGTCTCAGCGAGTCCCATTCAGGAGAATCCAGGAACTGGAAGGGGAAAATGTAATGCAGAAATTCGCCATCAACTGTCACTCTGATCCTATCCAAACACAAAGAACAACATTTATGAGGGAAGGAGAAAGCCAGCACCTAATTAGGGGTGAGGGGAGGGAGCAGTAGTTCAGATCTCTGATGACCTTTTTGGCTATTAAACTTCGAAGAGGATAATATTAAATTCATACATTACGGTAAGTGACAAATCTCCTGTAAGACTCATTTACTGATATTCCTCACACAGTTAAGATTCTGGAATACTGGGCAAAATTCCAGAAAATTCATCAAGCTGTATACTTATGATATGCGCTCATGTATGTGTGTATATTACACTTCAATAAAAAATTTCAGTGCACTCAGTCAGATTTTAAATTAAGTAGAACACTGAAAAACATAAAGTACCACTGTAAATACCTCTGCAAATTAAATTTTTAGCCTTTTTAAAAACGTAATCACATTATTGTTTTCTTTTCCTAAACTTTGCTTTCAAAACAGTTGACCTTTGAACAACACAGGTTTGAACTGCGTGGGTCCACTTACATGGGGATTTTTTCAATAAATATTGTAAATACATTTTCTCTTTCTTGTGGTTTTCTTAATAGCATTTTCTTTTTTCTTTTTTTGTAAGAATAATTTTTCGTAAGAATGGTATATAATACATATAACATGCAAAATATGTGTTAATTGACTGTTTAAGTGATTGGTAAGGCTTCTGGTCAACAGTAGGCTATTAGTAAAGTTTCTGGGGAGCCAAAAGTTATACGTGGATTTTTGACTGTGCGCAGGTCAGCATCCCCACCCCTGTGTAGTTCAAGGATCAACTGTATGTGTATATATAAAATGAGGTGCACCCACTCCACTTCTAGCAAATGGGCAATTACTAGAAATTACTAAAAAGTTAATCATTATAAAATTTAGTGTTCTTTATTTAAAAAATGCCCTATTTAAGTCTATTTAAAATACTCTGCATGCCAGCGTAAGTATTGTATTAATTCAAGCTGGCATCATCTTCTTCTTGACTTTCAGTAATTAGTTTGAAAACACATAGCATATCCAGATAAACCAGTTCATACATTTGATTTCTAAGAAGAACTGTTACGGCTCTAGACTATTTCCTGCTTCCGGTAAATAATAGCATGTACTCTAAATACCTATGCCTATGAGTCACGTGTCCAGGGCTTTCTCATGCCTCAGGGTGTTAAATGCCACCCAGGACTGTGCTATGCTGATATAAAAAAATGTAGCGGAAAGACAAGCTAAGGACTATTATAGAAGAAAGACATGCAAGCACCAAGAGTACAAACCTTCCTGAAACAAGCAGAGAGAGTTTATCAATGGAAGTTTTCCCCTGCATGGCATAACAATGTTCCTTTTCCAAAGTAACCACTTCAGAGCTCAGAGCAATTGTTCTGAAGACAGGCAAAGAGGTCCCCAGAGGCTGGAAAAGGGAGCTGTACAACAGCTGAAATTCTCGGGCAAAGGTTATGCTGCGCACTTGATATGCAATATGAACAAACTGCATGAAGCAGATAACAAACAGTATAAAATTCCAGGAAAATATGTCGGCTGCACAGACATCGACCCAAGCCCAGACAGCAGAGCAGAGAAAACCCAACCCCAGCAAACTGAAGACATAAAGGAGTCCGAAGAATCCACTGCCACCCATGAAACCTACTACAAATAAAATACTGGCAAGATGATAAATGGCTCCTTCAGCCTCATGCTTCCAGCTTGTGCAGACTGGGTGTTCATCTATTAGGTTCTTCCATAAACTTGAATTTCTTTCCATGGCTATACTACTGTCTGGTTCACTTTTCTGTCGACATTAGATGATATCAAAGCAAGCGATTAAGTCCTTTGCTTTTCCATCATCAGAGTTTGGCTAAGTCTTCACAAAATCAGAGAAAGCCTGGAGGAGTTGTAGTGATTAAAGATTTGGTGTGTATGGATCTTGAAAAACTAAGAATCCCATGCTATCTTCTAAGTTCATCTGGGCTCCTGCTTTAGATCTAGGCCACAAATATTTTGTAGTTTCCTGTGCAAGAAAAAAAACAAAAGGATCTAATTAAACAAGAAGAATTGAGAATATATTTAATGAATCACCAGCATTATTTATTCAAGTTTACCCTCTATTTTCTATGAAGTTAGAAAATTTTGAGTGCCAATGCTGTCAAGTGTTAAATTTCTAGGATATGAAAAGTATAGTTTTAGAATTATGCTTATTAGTAATAATAAATTACTTATAGAAATTTTAGAATTTGTTAGGATTATATAACTACATAGTTTTCAAAGTAGCTAAGTGCTATAATCAGCTAGTCTCCATAACAGTAGTTCAGGCACCTCAGATCACATGGGACAGTAACTAAATATGCAGATTCATAGATTGTTTCCAAGACATACTGACTCAGACTATGAGGGGGTGGGGCTATGTGTCGCTATTTTGAACAAGCTCCCCACATGATTTTGATGTGGCAATCCATGGCCTTCCATGGACCACCTTTTGAGAGAGATGGTTTGACTTTACAGATGAAGAATGTGAGGCTCAGAGAGGCCAAGTAATTTATCCCAGGCCATACAGTGATTAGTGGCAGAACAGAACTTCAGCATTTGAGCCTGTATGCTGGATCCCATCATGTGGCCTCTCCTGAAAGATGTTTTAATTTAGGCACTTAAAGGAGACTTAGTAAATAAACATAAGAAACACATACTTAGGAGTTAAATTTTAAGAGCATGTAGTAGACTGTAAAAATGTTTAATGACTTAGATCAAAATTATTTGAGAAATATAAATTCAGTTCTACTTTACTATCTTAGAGGCTATTTCAGGTTAAAGGTTGCATGCACATAACTAAATAAATATTAAAATTCCTGCTACTTGCATTTTTATTTACCAGATGGTCAAAATGTTATTGACTTGTTCCTCTGCACATATATTCCCTACCCTTTCAGCCAGATGGTAAAAATGCTAATATGTGATCTGAGTCAGGAGAGATTTAACCATGATGACAAAGCTGTAGGGTATGTATCATTTACCACCCGGTTTCTTAATAAATGGTTTCAATGTGAAGCATTCATTAGATTGGTTTTTAAAAATCATAGCAACGTTCAAAACCTTTGAACTCGTATAGTGTTATTTTTGAGAGATTACTTCCAGAACACCTGTTAATAAACTATCAGGTATCGCAGATTTTGTTTCATAGAAAAAAATACACTCAGAGGTGAAAATGACTTAGCTGAAGTTAAAAAAAGGAACAGTGTAACCACCAGCAGAACTACAAATGGAAATGAAGGAGCTGCTTTTGTTGAAGTTTCTGGTTTTTCACCTTGGATAGGGATTGTTTTCTTAGCAAATAATGACTTTTTAGAATGCCACCTAGTGAATCATTCAAAAAAGGAAAAAAGAATAATGTCGACTCAGAACTTACAGCAATATTGTTAGTTTTACTCAACTTGCTTTCAAATACATTTCAAACATCCTGCATCCTTCTAATTATCACCCTCTGCACCCAACACTCTGAGATGATGAGATTCAAGGCAAACTGGCACACTAAACGTGTTTAATTTCTCCTCTTTTAAACAAAACACAAAATTATACACTACTGGATATTCATAACAAAGAAAAAAAAATTAAATATGAGTAATGAGAACTGTGAAATACCAGACTGTAAATGTCAATCTCCTCACTGTTTTACTTTTAAAACTAGGGCATTTTCAATGAATCCCTTCCTCAGGGTACCAAACACAGCTGCTAAAGCCAATATCAAAAAGCACTGCTAGAGGAGCTCTGAACTTTGAACTTCCTTAAAAATTTATAATCCTCAAAAAAAATGTTAAAATAATACTAATGGGGAAAGGCCACGTAAAATGTTTGTGGGAATTCAGAAGTGAGCTTATGGGACTCTTGTCCCCTTTAAATCTTGACTTGGGGGGATACACTGGGCCACCTACATTCCAGGAGTGAGATCCATTATGATTATAAGAGGAACTGTGCTTCTGGTCCTTTCTAGTCTGCTTCTGTTTCCATGAGCTGCTACCAAACCATCTTCTATCCTTGATACTGTATCACTGCCCTGATTACATGACTCCACACCCTGCCTTTCTCCACTTGGTGTGTTTTTATTCAGTCACCAAAACAGATGCATTTTGTTAGTGGAAAAGAAAGAACTGACAGGGGCAGGTGATGAGCATGAGTGTTCCTTTGGTATGTGCCAGCAGTACTATATGAATGTTGAACATGAATCATCAACCAGCTGCCTGCATTAAAGGCTTATAGGCCTTTAGTCATGTTTTTGGGTAAATAAACACTGGAATGTCAAAGTGGCACGAAGGATACCTTAAGCAACAAAATCAATCTTCCCTGCAAAAGAAGTTAGCACACAGAGATGCAAATGATGGAGATAAACTTAAGTGCAAATAAACAATAATTCCAATTCGCCACCCCACCCACTCCCGCCGCTCCTGTCCCCTGCTTTTCTCTTTAAATTGTAAGACCCTGAGTAGTTATAAAGGAATAAGAAAATGTAAAGGAAGGTACAAGGACGATCAATGAAATGTGAAATAAACTTGGTGGCAAACTGATGAAGACTAGTTCAGAAATTGCATTGATCTGTTCAGAACTTGTACATTTATTATCTCATCACATCATACTTATTGCCACAAGGGAGGCAGAATCTAAATCATGCCCAGCTTACAAATGAGAAAAGCGGCACAAGATTGGTGAAGTCTCTTGCTTCAGGTGAAAGAAGCGGTAAGTCAACATAGTGGGTGGAAGCTGAAGTCCCCTCAGCTCAGCTTCATGCCTCACCAGCAGTCAGTGCCACCTTTCAAGGCCATGAATCTGACATTAACATATTGGGAGACCGAAGTGGAATAGTTTGCCAGGAAAATAATAATCCTAACACTGGATATTTAAGGCCTGCTATATCTGCTTGTACTTCTCAATCCATAATGCTTAGACTACAGCTAAGGACATATGCATAGAAAGCCATTCATGCAATAATTTGCTTTACTATTATTCGACATTGACTAATTTCCTCTCCTAGATTCTGAAATTCTTAAGGGACAAAGAAATATTTTTGTATTTCTGACCCCTGGCACTCAATGAATGTTGACTGAATATATTGGTGTAGAGATATAAGCACTCTGCCTTCTCCATTCCCAGTCTCAATCCAGTTTAATGAATGATCTAACATCTTCTGTCACCTTGGGGAACAGAAATGGGGAAGATCCCAATGCCCAGGATAGTTCAGTACAAAGACACTAAGGAGTTAGCACATCACTTCTTTAAAATGTCTGGCACAACTCCAAATGCATAGGGGAATCTTTTTGTTTTCTTACAAACTTGAGCTCCTTAAGAGCTGCTGAATTCCTGATCTGATTAAAAACAACTCTGGTAACTTGTGCTATTGAATTAGTTTTGGTTGCTAGGCAACCTGGAAGATCAAAATTCCATCGATATTGTGCTCATTAATTGGAATCAGATCTGAACTTCGGTATGTGTTCCATATGCAAAAAATAATCATTTACTTAAAGCTGGCTTTCTCTACTTATCTTCAAGGAGGTACACTTACTCGGTGACTATGTGCCACATATTTAAAAAGTTACCTCATTTAATCTTCACAACAACTCTGTGGGGTAGGTACTATTATCTCCATCTTACAGATGAGAAAATTGAAACTCAGAGAAAGTAATAAATTGTTCAAGGTCACATTGCTAATTCCATCCAGGTCTGCCTGACTCTGAAGCTCACAGTCTAAACCACTTTATTCTGCTTCCGCAGTACCAGGTTTTAGAAAATGTGGGCTTTATTCTCCTCTCTGCTACTTAGAGCAACTCAGAAATATTTATTTATCAGTGAAGCAGAGGTAATATCACCTATTCTATCCACTTTAAAGCGTGCTGGAAGATTCAAATGAGATTATATACACTAAAAATTCTTGGCAAATTCTTAAATAACATAGAAGTAGCATTGCTGTGCTTGTTGCTTACTGTATGTTACAGAGCTGGGCCATTCGGAGAATATAATTTAAAAAAAAAATCTTTCTTTCCCCCAGAGGATTACAACTCAAGACAGAAATACAAATGGTCATTTTGGGCTGCTATCTGTCTTTGTTATAAATTCTAAGTTTACTCATTCTTGCAAGGGCAATCTCTGTTATTCTTCCCTACCTTGCGTCCTGATCTCCTACTGTTGGTAAGTACAGACCCATAACTGGCCCAGCATTGAGTCTTCGCTTTTCGATGGCCAAGAAGCCAGTCATTGGAAGCCACCAACAATCTTCTAATTATATGTGTGTGTGTGTGTGTGTGTGTGTGTATATACATATATATGTGTATATATATATATTAATACACACATGTATATATATACATGTATATATTATACACACACACATATATGTTATACACACACACACGTATATATATGTATATATAATATACGCATATATACATATATATGTACACACATATATATATTAGACTATGAGGAGGACATAAAAGGAAGAAGTGTCTCTATTGAAATAGAGGAACAGAGAAGGGTTAAAAACTTTTTAGAACTGTAGGCAATCCCAAAGTTCAGAAAGAAATCAAAAGAAAGGGGAACTCCGCTTTAGCCATATCTAATCTGATGCTCTTGGTCTAGCAACAGAATTCACAGCAGAAGATAAGGGGCAGATGGAAGGATATTTAACAGTTACTATCACACAAGACAACGCTGAATAAAGACTGGGGTTGGTAAGATTATGAGAGAAATGAGAGTCAAAGTTAAATGCCCATGATCAGAGGCCTTTGAAACAACTCTAGAGTTGTGTTGTCCAGTACTGAAGCCTTTAGCGACATGTGGCTGTTGAGCCCCTGAAATGTGGCTGGTCTGAATTGAGATGTGTTATACACAATGGATTTTGAAGACTTAGTACAATGATAAAGAATATGTCATTAATAATTTTTATATTGATTATGTGGTAAAATGACAATTTTGGAAGTACTGGGTTAAAGAAAACATTATTAAAGTAAATTTCGCTCATTTCTTCTTATT